CTACGAGCAAAAAAGGCCAGAGGACTGGCTTTGTAGGGGAGACAGGATGTCTGCTTTGCAGGCCAGGAATGTAAGACACATTATTAATGCTGGCTGATTTATTCTACTGTGGCTGCTCTTTTTATTATCTTTAGAAAACCCATGGCTTTGAATTAGATATGTGACCTACTCTGCAATGTTGGGATAGATTCAATGGGAAGAGGCATGGAATTGGTGCCTAGAAAACCTGGTTTTGGGTTGCTAGCTCTTCCACTTAGTGACTGGGTTGCTTTGGTCAAGTAATTTCCTTTCTTTGAAACTCAGGGTCCTCATCTGTAAAATAGGAATAGTGACACTTGTACTAACTACCTTTTAGGGTTGTTATAAGGAAATGGTGCTTTATAAAACACAAACCTAGGGCAGCTAGGTGGCCCAGCAGATAGAGTGCTGGACCTGGAGTTGGGAGGACTGAGTTCAAATCCAACCTATGACACTTAATAGTTGGGTGACCCTGTATAGGTCACTTAACTCTGTTTGCCTCAGCTTCTTCATCTGTTAAAAAAAAAGCTGGAGAAGGAAATGGCAAACAATTCCAGTATCTTTGCCAAGAAAACTCCAAATGGGGAGTCAGACACGACTAAACAAAACCATAAACCAATATGGAAATAGATGCTGCTGCTGTGATTATAGCATTAGTGTCTGTTATCTGATTTCTCACTTTGCTGCACAGGAATAGATAGCATTTGAGCATCACTCATTCCCCCATTCTGTCTTTCCAGATGCCTTTCCAATGCAAGGACAGCACTGAAGCCCTAAGATATGTAGGACCACAGAAAAGGAAGGGAACTCGGAAATGCTCCTGTCTGATCCCATTATAGTGAAGTGGAAAGGGCACTGAGCTCTTTCAGTCAGAGGGCCTGGATCTGACTCATACCTGAAATGGGCTTGGCAATCCCTGTACAAGCAGCCTCCCTGGGCTGGTGTAGGGAAAGTGCTTTGTAAATCTTAACATCACTATGGAAATGCCGGTTATTATAATAACCACAGACACTATAAGCAAAACAATTTCTGCTGCATTAGGTTTCATAAGATCAAAATTTTTAAATGTTGGAAAATTATTTTCCCCTAGTCCTCGTAAAAATGTGTTTAAGACAAGGCACCTTGGGGAATAGGAAGAAGGGACTTTTTGCAGTCTGTGATATTTTAGAAAAGGCACAAAGATGGATGTGGATAAAGTAATTTTTGTAACTATTTATTTATACCAATTGATTACACCCTTAACAGCACCGAAATTCTTTTTGGTCCAGTCCCTACCCCTCTGTGGGTCTCCCCCTCTTTTTCCTCCTGTAAAATGAAGGGGTTAGATTAGCTAGTCTCCCAGGCCCCTGCCAGCTCTGACCTTCTGTGTCGTATAGTTTGAACTTCCATTCCACACACAATATTCTGTGGTCTATGTCTTTCCATTGCCTAGTTCTGACATTGTGATTCTGGCTGATTTCCATCCTCTTGTTAATTTTAAGGCCTTGTAACAGATTAGGGATGGGAAGCCCTTTTGTCAGAGGCCATGCTGAGACAGGGTCTTTCAACAGGGGCTCCTCACTCTCCTCTGCCCCTGCTGGCTGATTCTGCCTTGCCTTGAAGGAGCAGAAGAGTTTTTGTAAGGTATGGCTGTCTTCTCCGTCCTCGTGAAGTGCAGGAAGGGAGGACGCCAAAGGAGGACATTTTTCTTTAAGCATTTGTCTAAAAGACCGGCATCAAGTCCTTATGTGATGCCTTGTTCTCTCAGCATGTCACCCCTTTCTTTTTTGGTTTTTTGGCGAGGCAGCTGGGATTAAGTGACTTGCCCAGGGTCACACAGCCAATAAGTATCAAGTGTCTGAAGCAGGGTTTGAACTCAGATCCTCTTGATTCCAGAGCTGGTGCTCTATCTCGCCACCTAGCTGCCCCCATTTCTTTTTCCATGTCCTCGTTGAGAAGCGGTATAATGGAATGTAAAGTTAGGTAGCCTTGGGGCCACTAAAGACCTGGGTTCAAATTCTGGCTTTGACCCTTACTCTGTGTGACTGTGCACAAACTCACTTCACCTGGATGAGCCTCAGTTTCCTCATCTGTGAAATGGAGATAATTCTATTAAAAAATTAATCTCTATCAGTCTTAACAGACAGTATAAATGGGACTTATTTTTATGACTTCTCACACACAAGTCAGTATTATTAACAATGTAGCATCTAGGGGCAGCTAGGTGGCGCAGTGAATAGAGCTCTGGCCTTGGAGACAGGAGGCCCTGAGTTCAAATCCAGCCTCAGACATGTACCACTTACTAGCTGTGTGACCCTGGGCAAATCACTTAACCCCGACTGCCTCACCAAAAAGCAAAAAAAAAAAAAAGAACTATGTAGCATGTTCAGATCCGCCATCTCTCTTTCTGTAATCTTTTGGGTTTGCTGAAGTCATGCTTCTTGAGATCACGGTGTAGCATGACTGTAGCCATACAGAAACACCGAAAAAAGACTGGGGGTACTGAATTGGCATATATTAAATTTTAAAAGAAACAGAGGAAGGCCTCCAGCGTGTGGGATGGATCTTCTCTGGGAAGACATGAGTGAGAATTGCTCAGGGTGAGAAGTAGAGAACGCCCTGTGGTCTACCCACCATTTGGAGTAGCCACACTGATGAGATCCCAGATCTCACAAGTGGAGTTCAGCTTTTCCACGATGTATCCCCAGTGCCTGGAACACAGCAAGTGCTTAATAAATGCTTGTTGATTGAACCTTCCCATGCCATCATCACCTTACAGATAATCAAGTTGTCTCTACATCTATTTGCAACTGCTTCTGTTTTGGTAACTAATGGACTATTCCCCGTGACTTACTTCTGATGTCAAAAGTCCAGTGTTTGCCAGCATCTCCCTGGAGTGACCCAGATAAAACTGAGGCCATTATCAGGGGCCAGGTTTTACCTGAGTCCAGAAAACCAGACAGTGGCTAAGACAGTAGAAAATCATAACTCCTGTTACTTCTTAAATGCCCACAATCCTGGGTAATACTGCCTCTCCACCAATCTGTACAGAAGTGGAATGGGATACCCCAGGAGGTGTCTCTAAGTGCAGAATGAATGATCGCTTGCTAGGGGAAGCTCCAATGTAGGGATGGATTGAATTAAATGGTTTCTGAGGTCACCTCCCAAATCTAGGTAGCTAGATGGTACGAGATCAAACCCTGGGCCTGGAATCAGGAAGATCTGAGTTCAAAACCAGTCTCAGACTCTAGCTATGTGACCCTGGGCAAGTCATGGAATCCTCTGCAGCCTCAGTTTCCTCATCTGTAAAATGGGGATAATCATAGCACCTCCCTCCCGGGGTTGTTATGAGGATGAGATATTTGTAGAGTGCTTCAGCAAACTTTAAAGAGTTATATAAATACTAGTGGTTATCATCTGTGATTCTGTGAATCCACCACAGGTTTCAGCTCATACCTTCACACTGTGATTCTCAGGATACTTTGGCACACAGTATTTCCAGCGAGAACCAGGCCTACTCAATCTGCATGATCTGCTGCAGCCACTTCTGTCCCACCAGGTGACCCTCCATAATTCTCTAGGTGTCTGTAAGCCTAGAACCTATGAAACACGTTCCCTCTGCCTCTTTCAGCAGTTTACACCAACCAGTGCCAGATTTGCCCTACGTCCTTGCCCTCTGCATGTGAATGAGGACAATGTGGAAGATGACCGCTACACAGGCAGGAGATAGGGTTAAAATGAGATAGTCTCACTGTGTTCTGGAACAGACCGGCACAGCTATTCCCCCCAGGCCGGCCTGGAGGGCCAAAGGCAGCAGCAGCAGCTGCTGAAGTATAGCTGACCTTGGGTGGGGGAAGCCAACGTATGGCTGGTGGCAGAAGCGCTTCACAGTGATGCCTTCTCTGCTGACATACCATTTCAAACGGCACCGATTCGTTCTGATTAGGGCCCCTTTAGTCATCCCTGCACATAGACAGATTACAACTAGGGCAGTCTCCCGAGGGCCGTGTTGGTCTACTCCCCAGCCTACCCATCTCTAACCAGGTGCCTACAAATCTATTGGGTAAGAGCTATGGGAGACTGGGTATGAGCACATGGGGAACTGAGTTTGGCAACAGGGGCCTGGGTTCAAATCCCAGCTTTGTTGCTTGCCAACTGTGTGACCTCAGCCATGTCATGGAGTCCCTAGGCATCACTGGTCACACTGAGTCTCTATGGTCCCTTTACATTCCAAGGCCATGATCCCATGACCTTGGTTCATATCTGGGTTCTGTCACTACCAACATAGCATGGGAGATTTAGAGCTGGGAGGGACCTGGAACTTCATCTAGTCCAAACCTCTCATTTTACAGATGAGGAGACGAGGCCCAGTGAGGAGAGTGACTTGTCTGAGGTCACCCAGCCAGGGAGCAGCACAATTGGGATTTAACTCCCAATCTAGGGCTATTGACACCATAAATGCCTCTGTCCTGTGTGATTGCAGACAAATCACTTCTCCCTGAGCCCGTGTGGCCCCTTGTAAAACAGAGCAAGGGGTTCAAAAGGTCATTCCTGGTTCTACAGCCTATGACCTCCCGTGGGCAAGAGTACGTTTCTTCCTCTTTGGTTCCTGTCAAAAAGCTCATCTCGAGTTCATAAACTGCTTTTTAAAAACTGTTAAGAAGTTTTGATTTTGTGTTTAATTAAATTTAAAACATCATAATTTATTAGTCACTTCAGATCCTTTTCAGACCAGGTGGGCCATGAGACCCAAGATCTCAAACAAAACAAACAAACCTAAGCTATTTATCTGAACCTCATTTTTCTCATATGTAAAAGAAATTGAACCAGATGACCTCACCTGACCCTTCCAGGGCTAAGATTAGAGTCTATTTCCTTCTCTATCTACCTACCTACCTGTATCTATCAATCCATCCGTCCATGTCCATCTGTCCATACAGCCATGGTCTACATTCACCCTCAGCTCAGGTCAGTGGGCAAGTAAGAAAGCAAACACAGAAAGCCACATGATTCCTACTTTTTATTGGAATGACAGTGTTCATATCTTTTATGCTAAGGGATCCTCTTTCAATTGCCCAACATGGTAAATGCTAGGAAAGAGGCCTAACAATCAAATGGATCTAACGTGGCTAGAAATACTGCATCCCCTGCAAAGAGTGGAAGAGCCTTCTTTGTATTTAGATGATGAAATTGATTGCTTTTTGTCCCAAAGTTGCAGGCTTTTTTTTTTATCTTACTTAGTCTTGTCCTTTAAAATACCTTTAAAAAAATTAAATACCTTTATGGTATAGACTTTTGTATTATAGATAATTAAGGTGCTTGCTCTTGTCCCTAACAGTTGTGCTGAGAAGTGACTTTAAAAACTGGTCAATCCAAAGCACTGAACTTTAGGACTGTAGTTTGGGGGTGGTATGGAAGAAATGGTTGCATTTAAAACTATGGTTACTGAAGCTGTGGAAACTGTATTTTGCTACAGAAGACTTAGCCCTCTTTCCTTTTACCTACAGTGGATTATCTAGCACAAAACACATGGGTGGGAGAGATAGGGAAAGAGAGGCAAGAGGAAGGGAGGTGCAGGGCTGGGACGGGACAGAGAGAGGTCAAATAAAACAGAAACTAGGATTAAACTACCCACTGAAATGATACCAATTTGACAAGTGCAGGCCTAGAAGCCATGCCTATCCTGTACATGTGTGTGGGCAGGTACAGGCGCAAAATGTGCATGAGGAAGTATATACTTGTATAAAGTATATAAAGTATATAATTTGCACATATATACTTGTGCAAAAATCATGAAGAATGAACTTTTAAAAACAGCTTCAGTAAAAGAAAGCTCAGTTCCTGTCAGGGACAGTGTCTGACTTGTTACTTAAAAAAAATAGCCCTTTGCTAGTCTAGTCACACAGAGGATGATGGGCAATTGCCCTGGAATCCTTCATTATGTATGAAGTGTGGAGAGAGAAAGAGGGTGGGGTGGGGTGGAGGCATCACCTCTTCATTCCAAAGTCTGGAAGTTAGAGCCTTGCCCAGCCTCTCCTCCCTCCCCTTGTCTGGGAACAAGGTGAAACAAACAGCCCCCTGAGAAGGGCTGGTGTTTGGAGGGCAAGGACAGGCCTGAGGAGTTTAGAGGGGAGAGGCCTGCCGAGCTTCCCAAACAGAAGGGGGATGGTGATACTGAGATGGGCCTTGGCCTGGAGTGCAGAGCTCACGAACAGCTCCCCGACCGGAGCCGACCGCAGGAGCACATCCCTGCTCGAGGACGGTCAGCGGATGATGCAAACATCCAGGATGCAGAATTTGGCCCTGCAGGTGGGGCAAGGCACTTGGCTAGACAGCCAGGTCTCCGGGTGCTGCTGGTCCTGACGGCTGGCGAACCACTTCCCCATGCAGGTCAGACACCACATGGGGCGGCAGTAACACTGCTGGCACTCACCCTCGTCTGACTCCTGACAGTTCTTCACCAGCTTAATGTTGGCACTTATCTGCATGCAGCCAATGCAAGGCTCCAGCTCCTTCCAAGGTATTGGGAAACAGGGGTGGGGGTTGGGGAAAGATGGGGACAAAAAAGGAAAAACTGTTAACTCCTTTTCTGGCTCTTTTTAGAAGACCTGTACAATTCAAGGCTTTTTTTCCTTAATTATCTAATGCAATTTGGTAAACAAGAATTAATTCCCAAGTGTGTGCAGGCTCCACCTAGAGGACACAGTTCAGGTAAGAACAATCACACCACCTCACTTTCCCACAGCGTCAGGAGGCGTTGGAAGGTTTGGGGATGGAGGCAGTAAAATGGCTGCGATCCTGATGATACGGATGAACAGAAACACTTAGAGAGGGAAGCTGAGCTGCTGGTCCTGGGACTAGTCACTGCCAGCGAGGGGATGACTCGCGCCCTCCAGAGGTCACAGTTGGGTGGGGGTTAAGGTATCAAACACACAGCATATCCATGTGAAGCCCTATGCATGTGAGGGCTCCGCTGACAAGGGCCATGAGGGAAGGCTTCTTGGGGAAGAATTTGATTTGGGCTTCAAAGGCCAGGTAGAAATTCAGCAAGGAGAGGGGGCATTGTAGAGCGTGCAAGAAGCAGAGGTGGGAAAATTCAGGGAGGCTCAGGGGATAAAGGGAGGCTGGAGAGGTCCCTGCAGGAGACACCCTGTGAGTGACAAGCAAGGAGCTTCAGCTTTATTTGGCAGGTAACAGGGTACTCCTGAAAAATGCTCACGAGACTGGCTTGCCTAGACTTTTACCACTGATTCTCCTGAATAGAAAAAAAAAAGATGGAAATAGGGCAAGGAAAGTTCTAATTGCAAAAAATCAATCCCTAGTCACCTCTGATTCTGCCCCTTTTCCCCTCTGCTTAGCACCTACTCCATCACTAAGCCAGCCTCTTAAGGGCAACTTCTCAATGACCACAATGGGCTGTCTCAGGGGGCTTCCTGCCTGCCAGCATTGTTATGCACCAAGGAAAAAGGCCTGCCACTTTCAGCACTGGCTGCCCACACTAACCTTCCTGGGAAGTCTCCCTGTAAGTCTGGGAATCACCAACTTCAACTAGGATTCCCAAGCAGGCCTCTGCTCTGCTCTGCCTTGTCCTTTCCACCCCACCTAGGGCTCTCTGAATCTTCGCAGACCTCCATGGTCTGGCTCGGCTCACATCTATGCTATCCAGTCTGGCCTGTGTTACTTAATTTACATGTGGCTCTCCCTTGACTTCCCACTGAGAACACAAGTTCCCCAAGGCCAAGGGCACTGTCTTACATTTCTTTTTGTGCTCTTAGCATTAAGTACAATAAATACTCAAGTATTGATTGACCATTTACTTCCTAGCTGTAGTAGGAGCTCAATAAATACTTGCTGAATTAAATTTAATTAAATCTATTTTTTCCAACCAATTTATCACTTGGTTCCTTGTAGCCACCTGCCCCGACTAAGACAAACCTAAGATTAGGAAAAGGAATTCCTCATGGTGCAAAAGAAGTAACACATTATTCAGGCTCGCTCAGAACCAATTAAAGGGGCAGCATATATTGTCTCCTGCTGGGCATCAATTTAAACCCAAATGAAAAACTCCACCTGCTTTATCCATCTGTACACACAGATACACACGCACACAAGCAAGGCTAGATTTTTAAAGCTCATTTTGGTGAGTACAAAAGTGACAAAGTCTATAATAAAGAAGGTCAGGAAGGCTGTTAATTTGAAATACTCAACTTAATTCAACTTGCTATTTGTTAAGCTCCTACTGTATAAAGAGCCCTCATGCTGGCTACAAGGGGAGATAGAGAGTTTTGATAATAACAGACATAGGGAACTGCAATACATAATACTACATGATGAAGGCACTGGAGCAGGGGGAGCATAGCATGGTGTGAAGTCCTCGAGGGCGGCTATGAAGAGGGGATGGGAGAGGTAGAATGGGGGAGGAAGGCTGCTCTGGGCAGGGAGTACAGGAGGGTCAAAGGGATGGTGGTGGGAGCATAGGGTGACTACGGGGACAAGTGAGCTTGGTTTTACTACATGGTACAGACCTTGGATGCAGCACAGGCCACAGCAGGGTTAGCAGACCCTGGAATACTGAGCCTAAGCTTTCCTACTGATAGATGTAACAGGAAACCACTAAATATCTGGACCAGATCCGTGTGTGTCAGCATGTCAGAGATGGACTGGAGTGGGGAGGAGATGGGAAAGGGAACACACAGAAGCACAGAGAGGATCAGAGGTCTGGAGCTGGAAGGGGCCCTCAAAGCCAGCTAGTCCAGATGAGGAAACTGAGACCCAGGCAGGAGAAGGGACTTGCTGAGGGTCACACTGGTATTAAGTGCTCTTTCCATGCTAGAAGCAGCAGCATTTGTCCAGGCTGGTAACAGAGGGCTGATGCCCAGGGATGGCAGTTTCCAAATCTGGTGGTTTACTGGGAGTGAGGAGCTGGGCGTGCCAGGGTAACCAAGAGGATGGAGTTCCACAGCTAAGCGGCACAGCGCTAAGAAAGGAGACCCCACACGTAAACACTCCACAGATCAGAGGGGCTGTAGAGGAATAGGGTGAAAAACCCCCTGGCCCCACACGGCAAACCTGAGCTCAGTGGCCACCAGCAGCACCGAGAAGATGGGCAGGGCCCATGACGTGGTCTGAAATGGATGTGGCCTCAGGCCGTCCTACCCAATGAGGCACTTCTTCAGGGCAGTCGCTTCCTTGGTGAAGACTGGATTGGGACCACAGGCAAGTTTTTGAAGCACTCTGTGCCTCAGTTTCCTCCTAGATAGCAGGGAGATGGGTCCTGATAGCTGTGCTCCGACCCTCTCAGGGGTGTTGTGAAACACCGAAGAAATGGCAGGTGTCACAGGTTTTCATTAAATGCTGAAGAAAAGAACTCTCTTGTGACCTGGGAGGGGAGTTTCCCTTCCATGGGGAGCTGAGGAGAGCAACATCCCCGAGAGTGGCTGTGAAGGAGACAAAGTATAGCCTTGTGGGCTGAAGGGGCGCCAAGGCCAGGGAGAGTTTTATAGGAGGAGATGTGGGCATGTTTGTGGGCAGCAGGGAGAGGGCAGGGATGATTGTGGGAGGTCAGCTGAAGAAGATGGGGGAATCAGGCCACAGGGTGGGGGGCTGACCTGGAGTAAAGAAAGAGAGTGGGTGTCACAGGGTTCTGCAATGTGGAGACGGGGAGAAGGGACAACTTGTGGCCAGCGGTGTCTGTTTTCTCAGCACACTATGAGGCAAGTTCCTTAGCTAAGAGGCTAGAAGGGCCATAGAAGGCTTGAGGAAAGAAGGGAAAATTGGGAAGAGCCTCACTGGAGGGTGGGACAGAGGATCAATGAGGAGGAGGAAAAGGACTGCCCTGCTGCTGTGAGGGCCCAGGGGACATCTCACAACATAAATGTGTAGTAGGTCCGGCCAGTGTGGGAGCGTGACTTCTGCAGCCAGGGAGGGTTTGAGAGATTTCAGAAGAGAAAAAGGTTTGCAAAGCCCTCTGTAGGGTTTGGGACAGAGCAGCAATTAGGGAGGGGAAATGAAGAATAGACATAGTGATAATTAAGATACAGGAATCACTGGAGACCTATCAGAAAAGCATGAGGATGTTCTCAAGATGAGCCAAGTGGGGAAAGTAATTCAGAAACAAGGGTTAGGAAACATAATGAAGTGTGATTGATGAAATGGATATACTTTGGCACTCAGAGAGGGTGTCATGATATTTCATGTCTAGCAAATAAAATCAAGGAGTTAACAAAAAAAGAATGTGACACATTTATCCCTGTCTCCTAAAAGAGAAGACACTTGAAATAGTTTTCCTGCTCTTACTGGTTTTGGGGTCATCTGCTGCTGAACTTTGGTGTGACTAAGAGATCCATACCCTCAGAGGCTCCTGAAGGGTACAGGGCTTTCAGGAAGCCAACAGGATTCAGGAGTTCAGAGACTACCCCTCCCTCCCAAACCATCGCCTTGAACTCTGTCCCTTACTTCCCTTAGACAGACTATAAATAATAACAGCTTTTCATTTTATTAGCACTTGAAGATTTACAAAAGTGCCTGCACTACAACAACTCTGGAAGGGAGGGCAATGCAAAGGTTTTATTATTCCCATTTTACAGAGGAGAAAACGGAGAGGGAGAGGGAGAGGAGGAGAGAGAGAGAGAGAGAGAGAGAGAGAGAGAGAGAGAGAGAGAGAGAGAGAGAGAGAAAGAGAAAGTAGCCTGGCTACACCCACACATCTAGGACGTATTTGAGCAGGATTCAAACCTCTGATTCCAATTCCAACATGCTGGTACCATGCTGACTCTCAAGTTTAAAAACATTCTCATATTCTAATAAATATAATTCAGTCTGAATCATCTTTAGGTTTGAAGCTGGCTGGGGCGTAGCAGAAGAAGTCAGGGACTACTCAAACCACCGGCACACATACAGCATGCTTTTATTAAGTGTTTACTGGGTGCCAGGCACTAGACCTCATGGTTGCCATTAGCTTTCCAAATTCCCCACCCGCCCAATATGAACAATCATCAACGTTCCCCATCCCACTGGACAAGTTCCCAAGAGGATCTCGTCTCTTTCATCTTGTTTAAAACACATCCCTGTTCAGTATCTCCAGGGACACCTACTAATATAGCACCAATAAAACTACTGCCAGAAGGAGGTATAATCAATAGCAAAGGGCCTGAATAATCCAGAAACTAGATACTCCTTTGTTCCATAACCAAAATTGCAATGGAAGTAATAACATGACTTCACCTCTCCACACTGCTTAAAGTTTTCCAAACTCTGTGTGTGTGTGTGTGTTTTATGGCCACCCTCGGGATAGGCAGTGCAAGTATTATTACGTCCCGTTTACAAAGGAGACAGCTGAGGTCAAGAGGGTGAAATTATTTGCCCACGGTCACCCAGCTGGTCAGCACTTGGCTGGAGATGTGGTTCTGGGGATGAGGACTGGGGTCAGGCCAGGGGCCTGCAGGGGGCAGAAGAGTGCCTGAGTTGTAGAGGGGATTGGGGGAGGGTACAGAAAGAGGAGAGAAGGCGGAGGTCAGAGCCTTGGGGAACCCACCCCTCATACAGGCTGGGAAAGGGGACGATCAGCCAGGAAGGGAGACTGACTGGAGCACTCTGTCAATAAAAAGATACCAAATATCTCCTGCTCACGCTCACTTGCTCGTTCTTTCTCCTTCTCCGTCTCTGTCTCTCTCCCAAGGCCTTTCTGCACAGAAAGTAACTTTTCTCTATCTACCGACTCCTTCCCTGCTGCCTTCACACAAGTCCAGATCTCTCCCCATCCTTTAAAAAAACAAACACAAAATCCTTCACTTGACCCTGCCAGGCCCTCAAGCTATGTCCTATGTCTCTTCACCACAAAATTCTAGGACAATCCTTCTACACTTGTTTCCACATCCTCACCTCCCATTCACCTCGCACCACCTGGCAGCCTGGCTTCCCAGCCCCCTCCCAGACCCACACTCATTCCTCCAAGGTTAGAGTCATCTCTTAAATGCTGACTCCAATGACCTTCCTCCATCCTCTCCTTTCTTACTGTCCCTGCTGACCCTCCTCCCCCATCCATCCTGGGTGCTCTCCTCTCAGACCTCCTCCTCCTCAGTCTCCTTCGTGGAATCACCATGCACTGAGTCCCAGCCCCTGTGTGTGGGTGTACTCCAGGCCTCACACCCACTCCCTCTTCCCTTCCCTTGGTGATCCTATCAGCTGCCAAGCTTTCAATCATCATCCCTCTGCAAATGCCTTGCCAGTCTCCATAGCTAGCCCTCCTCCCTCTCTTAAGCTGCAACTTACGATATCTATAACTTAACTTACATATCACCATCTACCTGCTGGACCTCTCCACCTGATGTTCCACAAGGATCCCAAACTCAACCTGTCTAAAACAGAAGTCATTCCCTTTCCTGTGGGCCTCTCCCTAACTTCCCCTGTTTCTGTCAAGGGCCCCCCAATCCTTCCTGTCACCCCATTTCACATCCCTCCCATTTCCTCACTCTTGTCAGCTCTACCACAACACTGCCTGCCCCTGCCCCTGTCCCCTTCTCTCTGCTCAGTTCGCCGTCTTCCTAATTCTGCCTCTTATTCCTGTTACCTGGATGAATGAAATCACATCCTAACTGGTCTCCTTCCTTCTAGTCTTTCTCTCCAATCCCTCTTCCAAACATGTGTCAAACTGAAACTCCTATAAACACAAGCCTGAGCATGTCACTGTCCTTCAGAAGCTCGATGGCCCCTCTTGTGTCAGGGACAAATGATAAATCCCTTTCTTTGCCGTGTAAAGCCCTTCACGTTCTGCTCCTGCAGCCTCTCCAGATTCATTTCATGTTACTCCTACTCAAGCACTCTCTGATCCAGCCGAGCTCTTACAGCCACTCTTCCCCACCAACCACTCCTCCACCCCAACGCCTTTCACACACGGGGCTGCCACGACTCTTTCTGGATCCCTAGCTTCTTTCAAGGCTCATCAGTTACCTCCTGCACAAGATCCTTCCTTAGAGGAAGCTGGGTGGTGCAGAGGACCCGGCGTCAGAAAGGTCTAAGTTCAAATCAGCCTCATTCAGGTCACTAGCTGTGACCTGAGTCACACAGGTTACTTAACCTCTGTCTCTCTCAGTTTTTTCATCTACAAAATGAGCATCATAACAGCACCTACCTCCCAGGGTTGTTGTATGGATCAGATGAGATATCTGTAAAGCACTCTGCAAATCCTGAAGCACTAGATAAATACTATTTGTTACTATTATTGTTGGTGGTGTTAACAAGTACCTTCCCATCCCCACCACTGCTGTTAACAGTGGACAGAACGCTCAACGTTGAGTCCTAACACCGACCTTCATCAAGTGTTGCCTCTGACAACTTACTAGCTATGTAGCCATGGGCTAATCACTTCACTTCTCTGACTCTGTTTCCTCATTTTCAAAATAGGGATAATATCTATAGCCCCCACCTCATATAGCACTGAACCTGGGGTCAGGAAGACCTGAGTTCAAATCCAGCCTCAGATACTGTATGAACCTGGGCAAATCACTTCACCACTGCCTGCCTCAGTTTCCTCAGTTGTACAACGAGGCTCATACTAGTACCTACCTCCCAGAGTGATTGTGAGGATCAAATGAGATATTTGTTGAGCACTTAATTTAAATTAAGGTCATGCAACTAAGTGGCCCTTTGGAAAAGTATGAAGTGTTCTTAAAATGAAGGAGCGTTATTACAAGTCAAGCCTTAAGTGAGACCTAGAAAACTTGCTGAAAACCTTAGAATGCTATGTAAAAGTTACTATTATTTTTCCTTTGTATCTGCTTATCTGTGTCCATATTATAGCCCTCCCATAGAACATTAGCTCCTTGAGGACACAGATTATTCCATTTTTGTCTCTTTATACCCATTTCCCTGGCCCAGGGGCTTGCATATGAGGAGGCACTTAGTAAATGCTTGTTGAATTCAAAGTATGGTTAGATTCTTAGCAATGCAAGGATCTAACACAATTCCAAAAGACTCATGATGGAAAATGCTGTCCACATCCCAAATAAGAAATATGGAGTCTGAATGCAGACTGAAGCATACTATTTTCTCTCTTTTTTTTTTTGTTTCTTCTCAATGAACCATAACCAGTGGTGCCCAGGGCTCTTGATTCCTACCTCAAAACCAAACTCTACTGCATTTACCTACCTGGTTGCTGGGAATAGAATAAGATGGGTTGATTTCCACCAAGGATGTAAATGTTTCCAGAAACAAGTCACCGAGGCTCTGGTGGATTACGACGTTGGCGGCATTGCGGATGGGGGCATGGAGTTTCTCACGAAGTTCACCGTACTCTGTAGAATTCAACCTGAATGAGAGATGAGAAAAGGAATATCATTTCCTCATTTTACCAGTCCTAGGATTTAGAGGCTGAAGGGGTCTTTGAGGTGGTCTAATCCAGTTTTCTCGTTTTACAGATGAGAAAACCAAGTCCCTGGGACTTAACAGACTTGCTGAGAATCGAGGCTAATAAATGCTAGAGCCAGAATTTGAACCCAGGTCCTCTGACTCCAAGTCCAGGGCCCTTCCCACCATATAACTTTGCCCTTGATGCAGAGGTTTAGTGAGGAAATGTCATTTACAATCATAAACTTTGTATTGTTCTTGGCCAAAGGTTCTGGCTTGGCTTGTAATAACGCTCCTTCATTTTGAAAACATTTCATACTTTTCCAAAGGGTCACTTAGTTGCATGACCTTGATTTAAACTAAGTGCTCAGCAAATATCTCATTTGATCCTCACAATAACTCTGGGAGGTAGGTGCTGGTACGATCCTCATTGTACAACTGACGAAACTGAGGCAGACAGTGGTGAAGTGATTTGCCCAGGGTCACATAGTATCCGAGGCTGGATTTGAACTCAGGTCTTCCTGACCCCAGGTTCAGTGCTATCTCAACTGCATCACACCTGACTTCAGACACAGCAATCTTGCCATGGTATTGGGCTATCTATCAATCAATCAATCAACATTCATTAAGTGCCTATTATATGCCAGAGGCAGCTAAGTGGCACAATGGATAAAGCACTGGGCTTGGCAACAGGAAGACTCATCTTCCCAAGTTCAAATCTGGCCTCAGACACTTGACACTTCCTAGCTGTGTGACCCTGGGCAAGTCACGTAACCCTGCCTGCCTCAGTTTCCTCATCTGTAAAATAAGCTGAAGAAGGTAAGAGCAAACCATTTCAGTATCTGCCAAGAAAGCCTTGAAGACTTGAAGCCAGGAAGCAGAGTAGGAGGGAGAGCATTCCATGTCTGGGGGACAGCCAGAAGAAATGCCAGAGCCCCGGGATGAGAGTGTCCTGTCTGGGAAAGAGCCAAGTGTCACTGGATGGAAGAGTATGTGTGTAGGGAAGAGGGGGAAGCGTAAGGGGTAAGAAGACTGGCAAGGTGGAAGGCAGGCCAGCTCCCTGAGCCTGGAGTGGTCTGCGAGTCCAGGAGGCAGTCCCTTATACTGTCATGCAACTCTGACTGGTAGAAAGTTCTTCCTCACACACCCCTTCCTCCTTTTCTCTTTCCCTGTTCATTCTAGCTTTGCTCTCTGGGACCAAACAGACCAAACTAAATCCCCTATACACACATTGGCCCTTCAGATACTAAAAAATCTTGGACTGCACTAAGGTTGTATAGGGTACCTTCTATTCCAGATTCTACCTTACAGTGCTATTAAAAGTCTGTTACCACCATCTTTACAGTCCTATCCTGTACGTGATGGTATCGTGGAAAAAGCATTAGACTTGGTATCATGGGAGACTGGGTCCAAACTTGGCTGGTTCTGTGCCCATGGACAAGGCACTTATCCTTTCTCATCTATACAAAATAGAGACAACACTTGCAATAATTCCTTGCAAGGTTATGATGAAAATGTTTCACAAATTTCAAAGTGTCTTATAAATGTAAGTTATTGTGATGATCGTTATTATGATGTCATCTGTTGAGGTCAGAGATATAACCTCCCTTATTCTGGATCCCTTCATCATCTCAGATGAGAATAAAAATACATTGTTGGATACTTGTCTTTTTGTTTTCTGGGAGAATAATTCATTCTGAGGTAGAACAAAAGTGACAGGAGGTAGCTTGTGGCTTAAAAAAAATTCTTTCTAGATTTGTGAGAAGCCATCGGTTATCAGCTGTGTTCTAAATTGGATGAGACAGAACAAATGGACTGAGGGACACACACTTGGCTTAGAGGATGAAGATGTGTTTGAGGAAATGAGCTGGTGAGAATTATTCTGATTTCACAGGTAACAGCCTTTAAATCAGACTACAGGAGAAAAAAAGCTCTCTCTGCAGGCCCTGATGGATTTCGCCAGGCCTCATGGCTTCCCTGAGCACCTGTTTTTACTAATTCATGGTGCAGCGATAAGGGAAGGATGTTTATAACCAAGACCTACAAGAGTGTTAGAGCTGAGAGCAGCTACAATGAACTTTTAATCTTCACCCAAGCAAATGAAAATGCATCTAGCATTCTTTAAACACAGTATTTTCAACAGACCACTCTTTTAAAAAGAGTATTTGTTTTTTTAAAAGCTTTATTGATTTTGTTTTTCAAACAATCATTTCTCAACAAACACACCAATCTTTCACTGATTCTTCCCTTGTAGCAAGTTAAACAAACTCGACCCTGAGTCAGCTGCATCTGAGAACACATGCAACATTCCCTACCAATAGATTCCCACTTCTCCACCAAGAGGAAGTGAGGGTCAGCACAGCACTTTAGTTGAGGGATCGAGGGGCAGGATTGGGGGAGGCAAAAAACATGTTAACATGGTATTGAGCCCCAGGGAAGGCCCTGGAGCGCACCTCATTCCATGCCCCCATTGTCTTTTTAATGAGGTAGGTGCAGTAATAACAGGTTAGCTAGGTGACCCTGAACAAGTCCCTTCCCACCTCTGTCCTTTGGTTGTTAGTCAAGTGACTGAGTCTTCGGCCTCACTTCTGCTCCTAATTCCCTGTATGAACTTCAGCAAGTCTCTCCCCTATTGGGGGCCTTATTTTTCCCTAATGGTGAAAGGGGAAGTTGGACTTTGTGATTTTTCAGGTCCCTCCATGCTCTGACATTCTGGTTCCATGTTCTAAGTCCCTCCTTGCTCTGACATTCCAAGTTCTATGTTCTAAGTCCTTCCCTGCTCTGACATTCCATGGTCTATGTTCTAAGTCCCTCCTTACTCTGACATTCCAAGTTCTATGTTCTAAATCCTTCCCTGCTCTGACATTCCATGGTCTATGTCCTAAGTCACCCCTTGTTCTGACGTTCCAAGGAAGGTACCAGCTCTGACAATCCACGGTCTGTTCCCAGGATCCTTTCAGCTCCAATGTCCTGGGATTCTAGCTATCTCCACACCATGAAGGTGGAAACAGGAAGAGCGTCAGAGGCTCCCTGAGAAGCCCCACTCAGATGGCAGAGTCCAGAGCCAGTCTTTATTAGGGCAATAGATTTCTAGGAACGTGGCCAAAACAACGACATCCATACCGTTACCTGCCGTGTTAGGGAATTAAAATGAGGCTGCCTATCTTGATCCTTGGGGGAATGAGTACCAAATATACACGTTAGTCTTGCTAAGTGCTGCATCTGTTACAGTCACTGAATGCCACAACATAGCATGCCTGTGCTGAGAGGGCAGGGCCCCTGCAGACCATTTAGACCAAGCTCCTTATTTTATGGAGGAGAAAATTGAGGCCCCAAGAGAGGACGCACCTTGCTCAGAGCCTTAAAGCAAGTTATTAGCAAAGTGGGAACTGGAACCCTGGTCTCTTGAGGAGATTCTGTCCACGTTACTGTTAGTATTCTGGCAGCCAGAATTCTGGTCATTGATGGGACAGCTCACTGGTCCACATCAGGAAGGCATGTGCTTGGGAGGGTCACTCAGTGGCAGAAGAGCTGGGATGTAGTAGGCAGAGTTCCTGGGGACAGTGGGGGCTCTTAACTTTTTCTGTCACCAACCCCTTGGGCGGTCCGGTGAAATCTATGGAAGTCTTCTCAGAATAATATTGTAATGTCTACATTTGTAGGTGAAGGAAATGCTAAATTTCAGTTAGAGGTAAGCACAAATAAAGATGCACTTTTTTTCCCCTCTATCCACTTTCTTACACTCACCTGAAATCTCTCTGTGGGCCCTTTGGGAGATTTGTGGACCATAGGTTAAGACCCCCTGGCATAAAGCCAAGAGTCTATTCCGTGAAGGTTTATCCCTTTTACTCTGCATTTTATTTTTCTACAGAAAAAGCTCAACTGGTTTGCAAGGGTGGTGTCTATATTTAGAGAGACTCCCCTGGTATCACAGGTACTTAACTGAGCCTCCTAGGAGGGCTCAGGTGGTGAGGGGCCCTCACTCAAGGGTGAACAGAAGGAAAGGAGGATGTTGATACTGGTGACGAGAAAGCTCAGGGTGGCCATGACATAGAAGGAACAGGAGCCTTATTGGGTATGGCCTGAGGGTAGAACTTGGGAGCCAGCTGCAGAGGTGGATTTTGGCTCCTAACAATGGATACCACCCCAAAATGGAAGTGCTGCCTTAGGAGGGCTCCTAGCAGGGAGTATGTGACTCCACGTTGGGGATAGTGTAAAGAGGATTCCAAGTTAGGATTACTTCAGGGCCATTAACCTGGCTTTGTGAACTTGTGTGCATATTTATTTCTATTTTGTTAACTGTATTTTAATAGGACAGATTCTCTTTAGAATTCTGTGGAATTTATTTTATGCATCTAAGCTGTGATTCAGAAAAGGGGTCCAGGGATTTCAGCAGATACCCAAAAGGTAAAGAACCTCTGGAGGAGATGATCCCTGGGAGTCTGATTCTGTTATCTGCAATGTCCAGGGTCCTGTTCTAGGGAACACAGACCACAAGATTCCTGCCCTCGCTAAGCTCAGTCTAACGGGACAGATGACACCTGAGAAGAACATAAGGAACTGAATGGGTCACAGGCAGCTTGGTGAAATGGATATAGAGCTCCAAGTCCAAAGCCAGCCTCAGATAGTTCCTATCTGGGTCACCTTGGGCAAGTCACTTAACCTGTTTGCCTCAATCTCCTCAACTGCAAAATGGGAATAATAATTGCACCTACCACCAGGGCTGTTGTGAGAATTAAACAAGCTAATCCTTGGAAAGTGCTTAGCACAGGGCCAGACACACAGGAGGCGCTATCACAGTCAGTGCTGGAGGAATCCAGGGGGTATCAGGGGATCATTTCTTGGGAGGTGAGCCCTACTCACTCTGGCAGGCAGAACTGGAGAGAGGAGGAGGGCCTTCTACATGTGGGAGAACAACAGAAGTGAAGGTGAAAACGAGTCTGGTGGGAGCAGCGCCCTGTGTCTGGAGCATCACTGAGCACCACTGAGTACCTCCCGCCCTTCTGCCCAGCCCCAGCTCAAACACCACCTGGAGCCTGGAGCCTTTGGAGCCCCCAGAGCTCAGGAGATGTCTCCCCTCACGGAATCTTTGGAGCTCCTGATTTTTCTATCTTACAGCACCCTCGTACTTGCCTTGCGCTTGTCATGGCTGTTGAGCCTCCTGAAGTTTGGGAGTGCTCTCTCTGAGGCCTCATCGTGGCTGTGGGACTCCCAGGTTTGTTTGTGGTTTTTTTTGTTTCTTAGGCAACTGGGGTTAAGTGACTTGCCCAGGGTCACACAGCTAGTTAAGTGTCAAGTGTTTGGTCTGAGGCCAGATTTGAACTCAGGTCCTCCTGACTTCAGGGCCGGTGCTCTATCCAGCTGCCCCTGAATCGCAGCTTTTTAACGGTCTTGTGACACCATGCCTAGCTGGGAGGGCTTGGTGCCTTGGCCGGCTACAGACCACAGACCAAGCAACCGTCCTGCCATGATCTGACTGGGTTAACTGAGTGCGGAAAAAAGTTCATCCCCACCATGACCCATGAGGCCCAGCAATGAGCCAATAACATGCCAGGAGTTTCCCATCGTGTACCATGACACCTGGGATGGTGTTTTATTGAAGATTTTTTAAAAAAATGAATAATATACATGGTTTTGTGTAGCATACAAAGTATACTAAGTACATAATTAGTATGTGCAAATAAGTGGGTGCAAAATTAATAAAACTGGCCTCTGACCCACAAAAGTGTGAACAACAGACCCTGAACTCAAAGAACTCAACAGAAAGGGAAAAAGTAAACATGTGGGTGGGTCTCCACATTCTCCCACACCATGTACCACAGGGGTCCTGGAAGGGAGGGATTATCACTGTCCTACTCCCTCTGTAGAGGGAGTTTGCAGGTCTGTTTTCTAGGCAGTTTCATTTGCTGCAGATCACTCTCACTCCTTAGGATGGCTGCCCTAATGGGAGAGGGGGGAACTAGCTGCGTGACTATAGGCAAGTTACTTAATTTCTCTGAACCTCAGTTTCCTCATCTGTAAAATGGGCTTTAAAAATGCCTGCTGTGCTCTGCAGACTTTAAAGTGCTTTATAAATACGGGTGTGTCGCAAACATTTAACAACTGGCTTTCTGGAGAAGAAAGTACACACGATGTACCTTTTTCTTTTTTTCGGTGGCAATTAGGGTTAAGTTGCCCAGAGTCACACAGCTTAGTGAGTGTTATGTGTCTGAGGCTGGATTTGAACTGAGGTCCTGAAGGACCCGACTCCCCCTTACACGATGTACTTTTAAGTTTAATCTACATTATTAACATTTTCTTTTGTTTGTTTGTTTGTTTTTGTCTAGGTAACGGGGTTAAGTGACTTGCCCAGGGTCACACAGCTAGCAAGTATTATGTGTCTGAGGCTGGATTTGAACTCAGATCCTCCTGACTCCAGGGCTGGTGCTCTATCCACTGCGCCACCTAGCTGCCCCCATTATTAACATTTTCTCCACCCTTTTTTAAAGTCTAGGTGGTCTAGAAAATTAACAAAACAATAACCAAACCTTGATTTGCACTATTGGCTGAAATGCACTGTGGAAAGGGCAGTTAAGTGGCACAGTGGATAAAGCACCAGGCCTGGAGTCAGGAAGACCTGAGTTCAAATCTGGCCTCAGACACTTACTAGCTGTGTGGACCCTGGGCAAGTCGTTGTTTGCCTCAGTTTCCTCATCTGTAAAATGAGCTGGAGAAGGAAACGGCAAACTGTTCCAGTGTCTCTGCCAGGAAAACCCCAAATGGGGTCACGGACAGTTGGACATGACTAAACAACAACAGCAAAAATGTTATTATTATCATTACAATCAAGGCAGGTTCTGTAGGTGAGTCAGCAGCAGGAAGCTGGCCAGCGGGCGATCAGAAGCCCAGGGGAGGCAGAACAGGGAGCCAATTCAATGGGCCTAAGGGCAGGTAATGTAATCTTTCTGAACCTTAGTCTCCTCCTCCTCCTCCCCCTCTGTAAAAGGGGCACAAGGACACCTACACTGCTGACCTCACAGGGCTCTTGTTGAGAAAACATTTTCCAAGCGCCCTAGGTACGTGCGTCAGTCAGTCAACCAGCACTGATGAAGTAGCTACTACACGCCAGGCGCCGTGCTGAGGGCTGGAGTTGAGAAAGTGCGATGATATACACTGGTGCAACATGCCCCCTGCAGATGAATCACAAATCTTTCAAAGTGCTAAAGAATTCCAGTCACTTTAAAAGAAATTCAGAACCAATTTGGGGCCTCGACGATCTTCTCATAAACTAAATTTGCTCATGGTTTCTGAGCAGGCTGAATCAGAGCCAAGCTCAACCCGACACCCCAATCGATTTCATCTGAAAAATGAAAGAGATCAGATTTGTGTGGCTTGTCCCCAGAGGCCAGAGCACAAACCAGAAGCTGCAGAGAGACATGAGGAGAATCAGACTGTAGGTTTCCCTACAAGTGCTGCCTTGGGAAGCAGGGAATCAATTCTCCACCACACGGTCTCCAAGCAGAGGCCGGGTTAGCACCTGTCAGGCGTGGAGCCTCTACAATTCCACAACGAAGAAAATTTGCTTACCGAATGTCAAAGGCTTTGACGAGAGGATTGATGCTGGCCACTCGGATGGTGAGAAACTGGACAGGCAGATTGGAGTCTGGCGAGAGCTCGTGCTGGCGTGACTCTGTCACTGTCAGGTGGATGTCCTGCTGTTGAGCCACGTGGATGTGATAGGTGGTCACCTTCATCACCCAGGTGTCGGTCACAATCACCCGGGCGCCCAGAGCCCCCGTGGCAAACTTGTCAATGCGGCGGAACTCTGTGTTGATGGAGGAGGCCACCGCTCGCCACCCTGACTGTGGGAGGGCATGGAGCGCCAGAGTCCGGGCTAGTGGGTGGCGCTCCCACCTGTTCCGGGACCAGTAGTAAGCGATGGTGCAGGTGACGGTGGGGAAGGAGACTGAAAGTAGAAGGAACACCTTCCAGCCTTCGGGGCTGGTTGAAATAATACAGTTGCTTTTCGGCTGCCGCGAAGCACATGCCAAGGTAGTACCCTACAAAGGGCAAACAAAGATTCTGCTCTTAAGATACAAGGGGCAAAAGTGTCCCCATAGCCTTGTAAGGCCTCTGCTTGTACAGGACCCACAAACGTGCACTTCCTTTCTCTCTGGCTCTGCAGGAGGCTCCAATACTTTCAATAATTCAATTCACATATTTACTACATGCCTCCAGGGAGTGCGGAAGGAGATCAAAGACTGTAGAGGACGTACTATCTGCTTCTCAAGAAGTTCACAATCTGATGGACAATAGGATTAGGTGTCCAAATGAGTGTTTCTGAGCGTGCTTTATTACTGTTATTGTGATTAATAATAGCAATAATAATGATGATGATAATGATAATCCTCCACTAAAGACACAGGATCATTAATAAAGAGTTGGAAAGAACCACAGATGGCATCTAATGCAACTCCCCCATTTCGCAGATAGGGAAACCAAGGCACAGAGAGGTCTGGAGGCTTGCCCAAGCTCACACAGTACTAAGGGCAGAGCTAGGATTCAAAGCTGGGTCATGTGACTCCAAACCCAGCACTCTTTCTGCCTTTGGGCTTCTCTAAGTCCTCCTAATGATGTGGCACCGAGGTGCTCCTGGAGCATGAAAGGCCATGGAACAGTGTCATACTCCAGCACGTTTAAGCTGGGAAGACTGCAAAGCCTGGCCAGACCACAACAGGCTGTCAGCAGGTCACTGAAGGTATCAGTAGGCAGCTGCAAGAATGTTTTGGCCAGGGGCAGCTAGGTGGTGCAGTGGATAGAGCACCGGCCCTGGAGTCAGAAGGACCTGAGTTCAAATCCGGCCTGCGACACTGGACACTAGATGTGTGACCCTAGGCAATTCACTTACCCCCAAATGCCTCACCAGAAAAAAAAATGTTTTGGCCACATCAATTCTTTTTTTGGTGTTCTCTCACTTCATAGTACTTTATTTTTTCCAATTACATGTAAACACAGTTTTCAACATTCACTTTTATAAGATTTTAAGTTCCAAATTTTTTTCTCCCTCACTCTTGCCCCCCACAGCAAGCAATCTGATATAGACTATACACGTAGAATCATATTAAACATATTTTCACATTAGTCATGTTGTGAAAGAATCAGAACAAAAAGGAAAAACCACAAGAAAGAAGGGGAAAAAAGAGCAAATAGTATGCTTCTATCTGCATTCAAATTCCATAGCTCTTTCTTTGGCTATGGATAGCAGTTTCCATTATGAATCTTTTGGAATTGTCTTAGATCATTGTATTGCTGAGAAGTCTATCAAAGTTGGTCATCGCACAATGTTGCTGTTACTGTGTACAATGTTCTCCTGGTTCTGCTCACTTCATTCTGCATCAGTCCATACAAGTCTTTCCAGGTTTTTCTGAAATCTGCCTGCTCATCATTTCTTATAGCACAATAGTAGCCCATTACATTCACATACTTCAACTTATTCAGCCATTCCCCAATTGATGGGCATCCCCTCAAGTTCCAATTCTTTCTCACCACAAAAAGATCTGTTATAAATATTTTTGTACACGCCACATCAATTCTAAAGATGGCCTACTAAATCAAAGATCTGTACAGGTGAGAGAGGGGTCACTGTGACCAAAAAAAGATCTTAGAAAACTGAAGCACTGATATGAATAAGCATTAATATTAATTTTTGTTATGGCAGTTCTTAATTTTCAGAGCCCTTTAACAAGAGGCCCTTTGAGGTCCCGGAAAGGCCAGAGGTTTGTCGATGTGACTATAAGTGATCACCAGCACTACTGCTGTGTTATAAGGGAGTGGAAAGAGCCCTTAATTGGAATCCCCGGTTCTAGCTGGAGCTTTGACTTTTTAGTATCTGTGTGATCTTGGCCCAAGTGATGTTACTATCTGAGCAGCAATTTCTTCATCTATAAAATAAGGACAATCCCTGCTTACCCGTACACTGTCTATTCTCCTGGCTCACTTTTTTTTTTTGGTTTGAATCTGTAATTTCATCAGCACTGGGACCTCCCTCTTATAGAAAGTGCCTCCCTGGATGCAGACTAGTAGCAGTATGGTGCTGTGGGGAGAGGGGTCTAGACTCAGAGTCAACAAGACTAGGATTCAAATCCCAGATCAGACGCTTGAAGGAGTGCGCCGGTGTTAAGCCCTGGCTACAGGTCACCCTTTGTGCTAACGGCCGGGGAGTCAGATACAAAAGCAAAAACAGTCTCTGCCTATAAGACGCTTACACGCCAACGAGGAAAAGAACAAACGCTGGCAATCTGTAGACAAACAAAGCTACAAGGATGGTGAGCAGGGTCAGGGAACAGACTGGCACGTCTCATCCTGAAACAAGAGCAGCGTTGATTTAATCGTGGCGCGAGGCTCTGGGACAGATGGGAGCAAGGAAGGCTGAGGAAGCCTGCAGGGTGGGACAGAGGTCACTGGTGCTCTGGAGGACATGGTCATAGAGGAGGTCCATTTGAGTTACGGGACTCTGGGCGTTCCCTCCCCACTCTGGGCCTACTTTCCAATGACTGCATTAGCTTCTAAAGAGACTTGGAGCCCTAAATCTATGAACTTATGAACTCAATTGAACTGAGTTCAACAAGTGACTACCAGGAACAAGGAACTGTGCTGGTGCCTGGAAATACAAAGATAAAAAAGAAACCGTTCCCTCCTCCAGGGGCTCATGTACCTGTAGGTAAGTAAGTACAAAATGCATTCACATATGGCGGAAAGCACTAGCAATAGTAATATGAAGGAGAGGGTGTGTGTGTGTGTGTGTGTGTGTGTGCACTAGCACTTCCAGTGCCCCTCCTAGGGATCGAGATGAAGGGAGCATAGGTTTAGCAAGGTGGATAGATTTTGCAAAGGCCCAATGGAGATGAGACATGGCATGTTGTATTTAAGGAAAAGCAAGCAGACGGCTTTGATTGGACTGTAGCTTATATGAAGGACAGTAATGTGTTAAGTTTGGAAAGGTGGTTCACAGTCAAACTGCAAAGGGTTTTAAATGTCCAAGAAGGGGGGCTGCTATTTTATCTTAGAGGCAACAGGGAGCCCCTGAAGCTTCTTGAGCATGGGTAATTGTCTTGCTTGTAATTCTGTCTTAAAGACTTGATGAGGGCATGAAGAAGAGAGATTACTCGAAGAGTACAGGGTTACACAGATGCTGTGACATTCTTCTGCTGTCTCCACTGTGGCCTCCTGACCACCCACCTACCTCACATCACACAGCTGGTATCACTGGTAGCTCGTAAACCCAGGTCATCCACTCCAGGGATTCTTCAACTTTTTCCACTCACGCCCCCTTCAGCGCTTCTTCAACTGTGGGTCTTGACCCTAGAAGTGCTGCCCAATGCCTATCCACTGGCTTACTGTGAGAATCAAATGGAATCACGTCTGTCTTTTAAGTGTTACATAAAAATTCAACTCAATTTTACTACTATTAGTTAAGAATCTACCATGGGGAAAGCCCTAGGCTCCGTGCTGGGGAGCGGGGATCAAAGATGAAAAAGAACACAGGCTCTACCCTCAAGAAACTTACAACCTAACAGAGAGGATAGGACACATGAACAAATAAGTGCGGTACAAGGGAGAATGGGACATGGCAAAGGGGAGAGCCAGACAAACAGAAGACAAGAGGAGGAAGAGACCACTTTCCTTGTGGTGGGAAGTGATGCCTGAGCTGAGTCTTTAAGTTATGCTTTTAACATCTGCTCTCTCTGAACCTGACAGATATAACGAAAATGTTTGTTTCCATAAAATAAAGCTGGTCTTATCTTATTTTGCTGATAGAAGTTAGTAAGCTCGACAAAGATTAAGCCTTTCTTAGAGTGCGCATGCTTAACAGGCTTATAAATATGAACTTCTCCATCTCCAAGAGGGGCTAAGAAGCCATTGCCTGAACATGGGATGTATGAAGAAGGAATCGAGGAATAGATGTGTAATAGGAGTACTGGAAAGTTGTACACTCTGGAGTACTCAATCAATGAGGAAACAGAGGAGGGACTTTGCACGCTGGGAGTAGAGCTAAAAAGTGGACTCGTGCTTTGGTACAATGTATCCTAGTCCACAGGACCCCCGAAGGTAACTGCGTAATCAACTGGCCTTTTAACTTCATCCTTCCTAAATCCGAATGAGTTACTTCTCACAGTACCTGAACCTTCTTAAATTTTGGCTCTACCCAGCTAAGAGTGCTTCTCAAAGATCTTCTTTAATCCCCCTTCCCCTACCCCCATCAAACCTCTTAACTGGAATAATTTTCATTTGTGGAGTCTTTCCAAGCGTTAATTTTTTTTGTTCCCTTCCCCATTTCTTTTCCCATCTAAGTTATTCTCCAAGAGATTGCTTCCTTTTTACAGGCTCTACATCTACATGTTCATTCTGTATTCTCTTCTTAGTGGCACAGCTTCTAGGAGATAAAAGTTTTTCTCCCTCCTGTGTCCCATCCCTCTATTAATTAGTACATTGGCAGACTATGCTTATTCCTTCCTTCTCCCTCTTCTTCTTTAATTGCTACACTTGTTTTTGATGGACATTGTTCTGGAAGAGGCAGCAATTTGCTGTTGGAATCACTTTCTATCCTGAACCATTAAGTTCCCTCCCTTACCGTAGCACTTACCCTCCTAGAGATAGTAAGGATAGCCTGTCTCTAGCTCTAGGTAATCCTTTTCCAGCCTGGGCATATTGTAACTTTTAGATTCTTTTTTTTAAAAATGTAAATCTTATTTTGACTCAGCTTCCCTTGACAAGTACATATATTCAACAAAATGAACAAGCACATAAGAAATGAAAACAAGAAACTGAGGGGATGCCCATCAATTGGGGAATGGATGAACAAACTGTGATATATGATTGTGATGGAATACTATTGTGCTATAAGAAATGACAAGCAGGATGCTTTCTGAAAAACCTGGGAAGACTTACATGAGCTGATGCAAAGTGAAGTGAAAACATTGTACACAGTAACAGCAATACTGTATGATGATCAACTGTGAATGATTTTGATTAATACAATGATCCAAGACAATTCTGAAAGACTTATGATGAAATATACTGCCCACCTCCAGAGAAAGAACTGATGTAGTCTGAATGCAAGTTGAAGCATCATTTTTAAAAATTTATTTTTCTTTTTGTTTTGCAACAAGGCTAACATGGAAATATGTTTTGCATGATTCCACATGTAAAATGGACATCACATTTTTTTGCCTTCATAATGGATGAGGAAGATGTGGGAGGAGGGAAATAATTTGAAACTCAAAATTTAAAAAAAAATCAGTGTTAAGAATAATACATGTTTGAAAAATAGAAGTGAAAATAAGAAAAAGGAGCTTATGCTGAGGCAAACAAGGCCTCATAGATTATCATACCTGTGATACAGTAGCAAGAGCCCTGCACCTAGAATCAAGAAGATCTGAGTTCAAATTCAGCCTCAGACAGGTACTAGCCGTGTGGCCACAAGCAAGTCTCTTAATCTGTCTTCCTTAATTTCCTTCAATATAAAATGAGGATAATAATAGCACCTACCTCTCAGGGTTGTCGTGCAGATAATACAAGATTCACAAGCTCTGCAAACCCTGAAGTACTATATAAAAGCTACTTATTATTACTGCTGATTGTTAAGTCCATCCCCAGAAATCTACACATCAACTTTATTTTTTATATATTTTGTTCTAACACATAAGTCACTTCCAGTAATAAATAACATCCGGTGTTATTATCCGGTAATAACTAACAAAAAACACAGTCAAGCCAAGCCACAATATAGTGATTCTGACTATATAATTCACTTCTGGTTTACAGCTTTTTTTTTTTAAATAGAAAGAAGTGTATTTGGAGTTTGGTAATTTGGAACCAAAACTGTCCATCATGTTTATCTATCGTTTTGTTGCCTTCATGGCCTTTATTTTATATCTGTATCCTTTCCTTCTCAAATTAATCATAAACTCTTTCAGGGGAAGGGGATTTGTGATACTGTTATTTTTCTCAGTAGCCTTGCACAAAACAGTAACATTATAAATGCTGGTTCACTGGAAGTGAAGAGTTAACAAAGGCACGGAAGTAGGTGCCTAAAAAAATATTTGTTGACTGTTTCATAGGGTTTATTTATTTACCGCTGGAAGGGCAGAGAGGGCCCCCTCCCTTCCCCTCTGCCCCGGCTTCCTTCAAGCCCACCCACCCCATTCTGCAGGGAGCCCTTCCCCGGCCTGTTCCTCGGTGGGCTGGACCCTGGATAGCCCCCGGGATTCCTCTGGCCGCACTGGCCGGCGGGCTCTTCCCCACTGCACAGACGCACCTGGAGGCCTTTCGAGCCCGCACCCCCGGCACTCCCCAGCAGTCTGCACTGCCCGTCTGGCAGGCACCCGCCCCTTCAGGCTAACCCTGGGGAGGGGGCTTCCTTGGGTCTCCCCAGGCTCTCTCCGCGCCCCCCGGGTTCGCCCGGCCCAGGGCCCCGGATGCGAATGCGGGGTCCCAGAGCGGGGGTGAGGGGTGCCCCCGGGGTAGGGGGCATCTCAGAAGGCCTCCAGGAACCGACGAGGAAACTGCGTCGGGGGGAGTGGGAGGGTCTTGCCCGCCCCCAGGCTCCCCCACCCCCGCTCCCAGCCTCACTCACCCAGCGGCAGCAGCGAGTGGACCAGCATGGTGACCGTGGTCCTGCGCAGGTGGTACTGGACGAAGGCCACGTCCTCGATGCCCAGCCAGCCGGACAGCAGGTTCTGCACGGTCAGCCCCGCCGAGTGGAACTCGTTGGGCGTGAAGACGAAGCAGACGGAGAACACGATGTACGCCAGGGTGAAGGTCACCTCGGGGCTGTCCATGCTGGTCCGCCGGGCGCCGTCAGGCCGCCCAAGTAGGCAGCCCAGCCCGGCAGGATGCCGAGGGTCCGCCTGGAGCGTCGGCGGAACGAAGCCGGAGAAGCCGCGGCGCCCGGCCCCGCCCCCGCCCTGGGCCGGAGGTACTTCCTTTCCCTGGTGTCGGAGGCCGCGGGGGCGTCTGGGAAATGTAGTTTCCAAAAACGTGTCCTCCTCCCCTTCTGTCCTGGCTGCGTCCGCTGGAGGTGTCACCGCGGCTGTGCCTTGGGACGCCCGGCTCCGCTGACTCTCTGTGCTGGACTCATTAACGGGCACTTGGGGTGGAGGGATAGGGTGTCTGTCTGCTAGCCCCAGTGTTTGCGTTAGATAGCCCCAACATTACCCAATGGTCTTATACAAAGACGAGCGCGATCCTTTAACCATTTATCATCAAGACTCCCGCAAAAAAAACGAGGGAACGGTCTCTTCAGTTCTAATAGCAGCCCCCTTCTTCTACAAGGGAGGAACCAGAGGCCCCAATATTTAAGGGACGGTCCCACCTGGAGCACAGCCAGGACTGATTAGATCTAAGGCTCTGTCCTCCACAGCAAGCCACCTCGCCTTCTCTGTCTTCGTCATCGGGTAGCCTTAAAGAAAGGGCTACCCCAATTTTAAAGAGGGTGAGTGTGTATATACACACACATATGTTTAAATATCCCACAATATAGCTTATTGATTTTTTTAAAAAGTTTTTGGGCTAGGCAATGGGGTTAAGTGACTTGCCTAGGGTCACACAGCTAGTGAGTGTTATGTGTCTGAGGTCGCATTTGGTCTCAGGTCCGCCACACTCCAAAGCCGGTGCTCTATCCCATTGCGCCACCTAGCTGCCCCTTTATTGATCGTTAACAGATGGGAAACATCCTTCAACTTCGACAATATGGAACTAAAATTGAACCTTATATTCATTTGACCAGAGTTTTGTTGAATACCAATATTGTCTTTAGCTACATTGTTGCAATTATATATCGTTCTTTTGTCTCTTCTTTCTGTCACATCATACAGTCTACTCATGGGATAATTTTCATTACCACTTTATCAGATGTTAAAAGGGAAGAGTTTTCTCTGTTAAGACTATGCCTCTAGATTCCCATCCCTTCCTTCTCTCTCTCCTCCCCTCTCCCCTCCCTTTTTCCCCCCCTCTTCTTCCTCCTTCTACCCAATGGATATCTATGTTGGTTCCAGTTCTCGTTACCATAAAAAGCGCTGCTGTAATCATTATGGTGTATATGAATCTTTTCTTTTTGCCAGTGACCTCCTCAGGGTATCTGCCCAGCAGAGGAATCTTTGTGTCAAAAGGCATGAACACCTAAGTCATTTTGTTTGCATGATTCCAAACTGCTTTCCAGGGGAGCTGCGCCAATTCAAAGTTCAACCAACACAGTTCCTACAGTTTGTCATCTTATGTACGTATATATATATGTATTTATATGGCACGTACAAATCTATGAAATTATCATATCAATATGTTATATGGTATATTCATATATTATAATCCTATTTGTTATATTTACATATACAGCATGTATCAAATATAACATGCACAGGTACATACATACATGTACTTCTAGATACATGTAAAAACATCCGTACAGATACAGTCAACCTCCTGTTTATGTATATTTATATGTAGTTGTGTATATATACATTATTTATAAATTATATGTAAAATATATAAATGTATATACACACAATAGAGGGTGAACCAGCTGATCTCCAAGCTCCTTCAGGCTCTGACATTTTCTGAGTATATGTATATATACTTGGAGATCTACCCTCTATTTTTTTTGTGTGTTTGTTTTTTGGTGAGGCAATTGGGGTTAAGTGAGTTGCCCAAGGTCACACAGAACCCTCTACTGTTTTAGTGCTGCACTTTCCCTAGATAACCAAAACCTCTAGATAATCAAACGCAGAATTTTCAGTCATTCATTCTTTCAACACGTTATTGGCCTTATGGTCAGCACTACTAGTGTGTCACGTCTTCAGTGCTCTTCCCCCTCCCTTCTGACTCTTAGAATTCTTCCTTTGCTTCAAAACTCTGCTCAAGTGACAGGTGCTGTGGGCTCTGCACCCCCTCCCCATAACTCCACCCCCCCAAAGCATTTACTGGGAATTTATTTTGTACCTTTGTATTTAAATGTTTTAATTGATTGGTATGTCCAAAGTACTGTGTAAGTACTGAGGGTACAATGACAGACAAGACAGGAACTGATTATCTGAGGAAATAAAGCACAGCTGACTGCTGTAACACAGAATGTGACTAGAGCAAAGGAACATCCAGGCACAGTGCTATGAGGAATTGGAGGAGGGAGTACTCTACCTTGGGAGGAAGTGATACCTGGTTTGTCCTTTGTTCTCCAAGAGGACCAAGACACCAGGGAAATGATTACATGCCTTGCAATTGCTTTGATTTGAGTGAGAGAAGGCTGTGCAAAATCACCAGCTTCACTTTCTCCCCCCAAGCCATCTGGGTCCAGTGGCCAGACATCAATCGGGAGGGCTGGAGATGGCCCTAATACCTGAGCTAAACCTTGGAAGAAGGAAGGGATTCTAACAGAGGCAGAGTTCCAAGGGAGTCCATTACAGGGTAGGAGACCACGTGAATGCAGGCAGACTGATAAGAGAAATCAGAATAAGACTGGGAGATGGATCAGCTGCCAAAATTTCCAAGGTACACGTGTGACTGTGCTACTGTTCTGCTTGAATACCTTCTGTAGCTCCCCACTGCTCATCTCTCTGGTTCTCAGGGACCTTTTCAGGGGGTCTATGAGGTTAAAATTATGTTCATAATAGTACAAAGGGGCTTTAATTTCTAATATGGTAGATATCAATAGCTTGGGGGGGAGAGTTCTTGATAATTTTAAAAAGCATAAAGGAGACCTGAGAGAAAAAAGTTGAGAACCACTGGCCTTTAGGAGAAGCATTCAAGGCCTCACATAACCCACCTACCTTTTTTTTTTTTTGGTGAGGCAATTGGGGTTAAGTGACTTGCCCAGAGTCACACAGCTAGTGAGTGTTATGTGTCTGAGGCCGCATTTGAACTCAGGTCCTCCTGATTCCAGGGTCAGCGCTTTATCCACTGTGTCACCTAGCTGTCCCGCCCACCTACCTTTTTCAATCTTATTTCATATTATTCCTATCCAGGAACTTTATTTCAGCTAAAATGGGCTATTAACTATTTCCCAAACTTGACTTTCCATCCTCCACTCCCATGCCTTTGTACACACATTCCTCCTGCCCTTTTTCTCATCTCTGCATCTCCAAATCCTTGCCTTCCTTCAAGGGTCCAATAGGGGTGACCTGTATTTCCCTATTTACTAGCACTTTCTCTCTTCAAATTAAGGTGTTAAAAAAAAAAGCTTTACTTGTGTCTATATTGTATCCTCTCTATGGAATAGTATAAATTCTTTGTGGGCAAGGGCTGTGTCAGTCATTCAAAAAGTCAATCAGCAAGCAGTGCTTGCTCTTGATAAATTAATACAAAGTAACTGAGAGGGACACAAACAACTGGGAAAATGAGAAAAAGCCACCGAAAGGATGCAGCCCTGGGATTAAAACTGTAATCTTTATGCAAATGACTCACGGGCTCTCCCTGAGCTTTTAATTCCATATCACCAATCTCCCATAGGAAATTTCAAAGTTAATGTCCTGGAGACATCTTCAACTCAACATGTCCAAACTAGAGCTCATTATTCCCCTCCACCTTTCCCTGCAAAAAAAAAGAAAAAAAACCTCTCCTCTCCCAAACTTCCTTATTTCACTTGAAATTGCCCCAACTTCCCAATCTCCTCAACTCCTTACTGTCCCTCAGGGCATGGATCCAATCAGTAGTCAAATCTTGATCTATTTTCACAATAACTCTTACATCCCACCCCTTCTCTTGACCCATTCATCACCCTAATTCAGACCCTCCTCTCCTCTCTTCTGAATATGACCAATTCAGAGACACTTGGAGCACTTGTATGAACTGGTGTCTGTAGTGAAATAAGCAGAAGCAAGAGAATGATATATGTGGTGACTACAGCAAAAATGACACTGAAAGAGCCCAAATCTGATAAATTGTATGACTAATTTGGGTATGAGGTTCAAGGATTACTAGAATGCAACATTTCACGATTGGTTGTTGTGCTGATTGGTTTTACTGAGCTGTTTTTTGTTTGTTTGTTTGTTTGCTTTTGGTTACAAAAGAAGTCACTGGTGGTGGGGATGTGAACTGAGAAATAATGTTGGTATAGAAACAAAAGGCTAAAAATAAAAACTGAAAAAAGAGAAAGAAACCAAGTGTTGTTACATGAGCAAGAAAGAACAAAAACTATGACATACTGAATTCAGTAGTCCAGTTTGGCTAAAGTACATGTAAAAAGGGCCCCTAGGTGGCACAGTGGATACAGTGCTAGGCCAGGAGTTAGGAAGACTCTTCCTGAGTTCAAATCCTGCCTCAGATACTTACTCGGTGTATGACCTAGTCACTTAACCCTGTTTTTGCCTCAGTTTCCTGGTCTGTAAAATGACCTAGAGAAGGAAATGGCAAATCACTCCAGGATCTTTGCCAAGAAAACCCCAAGTAGGGTCAAGAAGACTCAGACAGGACTGAAATGATTGAACAACAAAAAAGCTCTCTGAGGTACCTTTCAGCTATAAAGTTCTATGATTCTATGAATTTCTTTATTATGCTGACCAATGACATTATCTGAATTGCCTTCTTGTGGTGACTTGTCTGATGGGATATATATGGTTTTATTGTTTTATCCTGTGAAAAGCTACTTACTTCTATGGGAAACAAAAAAATGACACAGTCTTGGAAATCACAAGGCTTCTTATCCTGGAGTCTGTGAACTTATTTTAAAAAAATTTTTGACATCTATATTTCAATATAATTGGTTTTCTTCATATGCCTATGTATTTTATTTTGTGCATGTAAAAACATTATTCTGAGAAGGGCTCCATAGGTTTCATCATTATACCAAAGCGATCAGTGATGGAAAAAAAGGTTAAGAATCTCTTCCTTATTGGGCTATAAGCTCCTTGAGGGCAGGCACAGTCTTTGCTTTTTACCTGCTTCCCCAGCATT